ATATATATATATATATAACAACTCAATTTAATATAATAACTCAAATTATCGCGAATATTATTGCGATTATCGTTGTTGGAATTGACTTCAAACATCCTTGGGCTTAAAGTCACGCACACCTGAAAGACATTAAATCTAGCTCATTACTTTACTGCCGCGTTTCCACGCAACGTTGACGATTGCAATAACGCGGAGCGCTGTTAAACCGTTTCAATGTACGCATTTCCAGCACCCGGAGCTCCTTTACTAATCCCCGAAGAGTGTAGCGCCGAGAACAACAGCGTCACCGTTGCCTGGCAGCCGCCTCCTGGCCACGGAATTATGGGCTGCGCTGGACAGAGAGGCCCCGCCATCGAAGGATACCTTTTGGAACTGGATGATGGCTGCGGCGGGGAGTTTAGGGTGAGTAAACACTCTCATATATCCTGAAGAAATTGTACTCCCCGTAAGTGTGTCGGGAGAGATGGTTATTGAACGCTAGGCTCGGATCTCGAGGCTTTCTTGAGATCGCCCATGAATTCTTCGATAGCACTTCACTCGTCGGGATCCTCTACCGTTCTCGTTTCTTTGTTGACGCGACGTCCGGTTCCGGTGTTTCTTTATCGTGCTCTTCTTCGACCGTATCATCTCGTGACGACAGCGATACGACTTCGTCCAACAATGGGACACTTCGACATTCTCACGATGTCTTTCGTAGAATTGTCCTTCGATCTGGCGCAGACGAGAAAGAAAGATTCTTGCTAGCATTAAATAATATTTGACGTCTGTTATTTCTCCCATAGAAATCTCGAAAGCAACATAGATTTTCTTACAATAGTAAATATTTTTTCCGAGTATATCATAACTTTTCTCTTTTTAATACGATTTCTTTTAAAACAGATTATCTAAATATAAGAATTTATTTTTTCTACTTTTAAAGAGATTCGAATTAAAAAGAAAAATTGCAATAATAATTATAATTTTAAATTAGACGGATGAGAATAAATCCAATTAAGTAAGAGAAATCCTATTATCGGTTAAAAAAGATGTTAGTGCATATTTCGATGTTGAATTTATATATTATACATATTTCCAGAGAAATGGCAATATTTGAAAAAATTAGATATTTTATTTTGAAATATTTAAACTAAGATCCGCTTTAACCGAAAATAAGTTTATTTTTCTCTTCATTGATTTGAAAAGAATATTTACTGATCGCGTTAGAGGAGAGGAGGAACTAGGAACACGGGAACGATATTAAACGTGAACAATACTATTGTAGTATATTAGAGTAGTGGCCTTCTCTCATTTCTCACACTTAGCGATAATCTGATATACAATCAGTGCCACAATATAACATATGACATAAAAAGGCACATGATGTTCAAGATAAATACCATTACATTTCCATTGTTTTTGATATAAGGAAAAAATGTAACTATTGCGAATAACTAAGGGAAAAGTTAAATAAAACTGACAATTATTTATTAATTATAGAAGTCTTTATTCAATAATTATTTCGCTCTAAACTAGAATATAATTAACATTTATATTCAATGTAAATTATTATTTTAAACAAATAACCAAGACCCACTCGGTGCCTGCATGATAATTCCAAACGGAGATTTGTTTAAAATTATAGGTTACATTGATAATACATGAATTGTTAATTATTGTATTAGTTTAAAGCCAAATAGCTGTATCTTTTGAATGAAGACTTGTATAATTAATAAATAATTATCGGCTTTAAATTAAACTTCTCCATTAAAGTGTTCGCACTTCCCCACTCATTCTTGTATGAAAATTCACACACAATTTAGTACAAAATGTTATTAAAAATGTAGTGATACTAATTTTATTGGACTGAAAAACTGTTCGTCCGTTTCGCGCTCCCGAAAAGTTAAGATGAGGTTTCCTCACACTTGAGCAAAAGAAAGTTACTCGTAATGTAAAAATAGTAAAATAAAAAAAAAAGGAGTTGTACGAACGTGGCAGGAAACTCTAAAAGATTGTGTATGTTGAACTAAACGTGACAGTATAACCCAAGGGAAAAGAGATGTAAGTTCGCCTGTGAAATACATTCATTAAAATTCTACAGTAGCTTTCTTTTAGGTATTTTTTTTAAATCTTTAATTAGATTGTATATTTGTACATATGCAAAATTGGTTGCCAGGATCCTTTAGAGACTGAAAATATTCTTTTGATCTTCCTAATTCAACAGTTATTATTCTGTTAATCAATTTGAGTAAAATTTATGTAAAACTTTGTGATATTATTGTATTAAATATTTGTCTGCCATCATTTCTAGATTATATATACACGCAGAAGTAATGAATACAATTTTGTTGCTGTCATTCAGCTTTGTTTCAAATTTCATTGCTACAATTTCCGTCCCGTAATAATACATACTGCACGTAGTGACATCGAGATGAATCTTATATGCGGATCAATTTCCGGATACGAGCGTTTAATAAAACTGCACGGGGATGTACAAAACCCGCCTTTCAATTTATTGAAGGATAATACCAGTTATCGGCGTGACATCGAAGCGCAAAGGGGATCAGAAAAAAACGTCAGGAATAAAAACCTTTGTTGAGAATTTGTCTCTGCGCACCGCAAGATGAATATTGATACCGATCATCCGTAAAGTTGATTTTTTTCGTAGAGATTCTAATTATGGGTTGTAAGTTCAGCACGTTGTACCAAGAATCGAAACGAATCACTCACGCGCGAATACTGTCCTTCATAAAAGGGTCGGCTATGTATCCATTCGGAGTGTGTTTCCGGACTGGCGAGTTCGTTCGTCACATTTATTCTCGGGTTGGTCTCTTTACTCAATTGGATTCGAAACATCGTCTTTCGCATTTTATTGATCGTAAACGCGGGTGGCAACGAGCACCCTGAAACGCGGGATTACAGCTAATAATTCAGCCTAAATAGCGCACGTGAGCCGCGAGACATAAAAGTCGAGATTAAAAAGATAGCCTCGTGGAACGAATTCGCGGTGCGAGTTTGAAAAATTTGGAGATTAGCGTGCTGAATAAAGGCAGTTTAATTGCGTTACATTAATCTGTTTGTGGGTCCTAAAATGGGTGATAATATCTCTAATTGTCCGATGACGAAATTGTACACAGAAAGAAGGGTTTTACGGAAGCATCTAAATATTTAGTTAGATGTAGATCTGAAAATATTTTTGTTAGGTTATCAAAATAATTAATGCAGGGCACTCAAGTTGATTGCTAAAATGTCAAAACTTTTTGCTTAAGTTTACTACATACTTTGATGGTTCAACAAAAAAAATTATTTTTAGATCTGTATCTACCTAAATATTAAAAAAAATTTTTTTTGTGTGCCTTGAGATCCTTTATAAGGATCTGTCTCTCTCTCTTTTTCTAAATTAGTATTTCATATATGAATTGAGAAACAGTTTGTGAAGTAGAATTCTTCTTCTGGTAAATGAAGATTCGATATTGAGAGCGTTAATTGAAGTCTATAACTCTAAGATTCCGGGCTTACACGTGAGAAATGAGCGATCTTCTCGGGCGATGGCAATTATTAATTGCTCCCAGCGAAATCGTCCCGTTCATTAGAAGTTTTTATCAAATGACGGCAGTTCGAACCGTCGTTTGCCACATAATCCACGATATTAATGTGAGGTAATTTTCCGGCGGTCGTAGAGTTTCATAGGGTATTGTCTTCCGCCAGCGAAAGGGGAAATAAAATCGCACAAAGTGAAAAAGAAAATGATATCATAAAGTTTTAGTATTTTTACACGAAATTATTTTAATATTGCTGGACTTAATTCTTTGAAATATTTACGTGCTACGTGAATATAACACGGAATAAAATACATTTAAGTTAAAAAAATATAGAAATTAAATGTGCAAAGAAAAAGACTGTTTTTTCTTAATAGTATGTATCGTTAGAAACAATAATCAGAAACTCAATCTTTTGAATTAAATAACATTTTGGTATTTTTAACTTTGATATGTGTCAAAATGTAAATCAATTCATTTCTGTAGTTATAGTTTCAAAGTAAAGTTCAGTAAATTAAATTTGAGTCAAATTTTCTTGAGTTAAATTGTATAACTTCATTGTTTTAGTTAAATTAATGGTACATTTAGTAGAAACAGTGGTGATCTATAAATTACAAATAGTCCAAATTGAATATAATTTGACATTTGAATCGAATAAATTTAATATACGAATAAGTGTACGAATGTTAATTTCATCTCATCATTGATTCGAGCTTTTTGCATTTATATATATTTTGATCATAAAAGTAATTTTACTACGAAATTGTATTAATTCTTCTTGTTTTTCATGAAGATTTCACTCTTCAAGTGATTCATGCAGGAATAAATACTAAATAATACTAAATCCAGAGTAAAATCGATGAGAATATGTATCGCCATGTCGCGTATGAATTCTCATTCGCACAAACGTGTTTCAGGTCGGGCCTGTAAATCGCGCGTCTAAATTTTCATGCTTTGTTAATAATGCACCCGGCGTGGCTACGTTGCGATATGGTGCTCGTTAACGAACGGAGCGATACCACGAATATAAATCGTCCTCGTTGTCGGCGCTCTCTTCGTCCTTTCTACCATCCCTTGTTCGACCTATCGTCTATCCTCTTGGCGGCCATCGAGATATCACGGTCCATCCTCCTCCTTTTAATATTTAAATCGAGCTCGTTCGCGCGGCACGATGCTTCGGGTTTCCCGGTTTCTGGTTTCCGTTTCCGCACTGTCGCTCGTTGAGCTCGCAGGAGGAACCATGAGGGCTCCTTTGACAAAAAGGATCGGGTTTGCCAGAAGATTCATGCTAATCCGGAGATAATTCCGCATCTCCTGTGTGATTTTATTTAGAAAATACAAGATATGCAAAATTTTAATTCTCGATTCCGACAAGATATACGAAAATAATAATATTAGCAAACTTCACATATTTTAGTAAACATATATCTATTATTATGAATATATTATTTTTCTATTTTATTATTCATATATTTTGTATTATATTATTTTATATTTAATGTTAGTTGGAAATCGATTTTTTTATCGAGACATATATATATATATAATGAATAATAAAATTGTATCGAAAATGGTATTGAAAAGAAAAACCGACTTGTTGACTTTGTATCATATATTTAATCAGTTCAAGAAACTTTTATTTCAATGTTTAATCTAATAGTGTATCGTACTTATTTATCTGTTGGTCGACCAATCGATGCTTTCTTGACGTTTCTTTGAGGAAAGTCGACATAACAGGTAAATTCCTCTCTTTATTCACAATTCTCATTTATCCATCATTCAGACGAACAACGTCAATACTTGCTCATCACAGTGAAGTGTTTTCGAGCCAAGTTAGATATTTCAACTTTACTTTTGTCATTACTCCATGTTTATCCAACGGAAGTTGGCATTCTTGATTTTTCCATGTTTCTAAGATAAATTAATTTAATTTTGTTTTTATCTTTACAGATTTCTAATTATTATTTTACATATAATTTTAAAAATCTATTTAAAATAGGTGTAAAAATGTAAAAAAGGTTTTTTTAAATTATAATACTTATATTATAATACTTATTATTATTTTTATACTGCGTGTTTTGACACAGACATTTACTTTAGCGTAGAAAGAATTTAATTACCGTAAGTATATAATAATGGATTATTATAGAATTTTATGCTAGAAACATTTTCTTGCATTTCCTGATAAGTAAAGATTTTACAAAAATAAATATTCTTTCTCCTATAAATCTTAATTTTAGCAAAAATTATTCTCTCTCTTAATAGGGCAGGTTATCCAGCTATAATTGCAACCCGCAAATTCACGAGTGTCCTGTTTGAAATCTGATTCGCAGGAGGTGTACTGTGGCCGCGAGACCATTTGCACGGTAGACGGGCTACACTTCAACTCACTCTATAACGCCAGGGTGCGGGCCTTTAACAGCGCCGGTGAGGGCGAGTACTCGGAGCTGATCGGCCTTCAGACCGCCGAGGGTGAGAGCTTTTTCCTTTTTTTTCTTTAGGGTTTCCTGGGCGAAACGCGCAGAGGCTTCGGCTGGAAAATCGGCGTCGGTGTCGCGTGGAAGACGAACGATCGTAAGCGACGTCGATTTTCCAGTCGCACATATTTTTTTTCCGCGGCACGATCGCGTGATCGATGAGATGGACGGTAGATGCACAGAAATAGCCGCGATAGAATGCCCATCCGTGTGGCGTTTGCGGAATAATGCGGGCGACAATTACAAATGACTTCGAGGAGATTTTTATCTTTTTACCTTTGCGTTATAGTTTCGAAAGAAAAACAGATCTTCCAAAAATTTCATTTCATTATCATTAATTCTGCTACACGGAAAAAACGATTTTGCTGAAGTATCTAAAAATTAATTAGATACAGATCTGAAAAAAATATTGTTTGGACCATCAAAATAATTAAGTAGGACTCTTAAATTGATTATTGAAAAAATATTAAATTTTTAATAAATATTTGTTTGAATAGTTCTATGTAA